AAAAACCTCCCCCAAAGAAAAGAAAAAAACCAGAGCAACACTAAGGGAAAAGACTGGCAAAACAAAAATGATTCAGAAGAAATCAGTATTTCAGAGAAAATGGAGGAAAAAAAAAAGAGAGAAAAGGCAATATTGGAGGAGAAATCACAATAGAAATCCTTTCAAATGCTTAAGAATTCTTACCAACATTTGGCCACTGAAAATATAATTTGCTGCCTGTATGAATTTAACCACAATGAGAGCTTATGTGAACCTCACAGAAAGTAAATTATTTATTTTTACAGGACCTCTCTAGAGTATATGAATAGTAGGTTATTTTATTTCTGCCCATTAATACTGAATAATGTATTAGAACTTATTAGAAAATAACTTATTAGGGGAGCCGGGGAGATGGCTCAGTAGAAATAAGTGCTTCCCTGGCAAGTGCTAGAGCCTGAGTTCAATCCCTAGTTCTGTAAAAAAAAAAGGGGGGGGAGGGGAAGGAGAAGGGGGAGGCAGAGGAGGAGAAAGAACAGGAAGAAGAAGGAGGAGGAGGAAGAAGAAGAGAAGGAGGAGGAGGAAGAAGAGGAATAAGAGGAAGAAGAGGAGGAAGAGGAAGAGGAAGAAGAAGAAGGAGGAGGAGGAGGAGGAGGAGGAGGAGGAGGAGGAAGACGATGACAAAGAAGACAAAAAAGCAGATGAAGACAAGAAAAGAAAAAAAGAAAGAAAAGAAAGAATAAATAACATTAGAAAATTTATAAATAAATATATCACTCTCTGAACTGGAGAGTTATCATTTGTGTATTTGGTACAGGGCCTTACTATGCAGATTGGACTTGTGGCAATCCTCCTGTTTTCAGCCTCCCAGCATCAAAATTAAAGCACAAATTAAGCTAAAAATAAATTTTGTTGCCAAAACAATTTATTGTGTTGGAAGTTTACACTTCATCATAGGAAATATATTATTTCTACTTTTAATGGATAATTAAAGGTCAACAAGATAGCTCAGTGGACTAAGCATCTGCTTAGGCAAGCACAGTGACCAGAGTTCAATCCTGGAGTTCAGTCCCCGGTACCACATGCCATGCCCAGGCGCACTGAGCCAGCCACCAAGATTGGGCATGGTGGCACATACCTGTAATCCCAGTGCTGAGGAGGCTTAAAACAGGAGGATCACTACAAATCCAAGCTGTATAGTAAGACCCTGTACCAAATACATTAAAAAAATAATAATAATAATAATTGAACTTACCTTCATTACATTAAATAAAACCTCCTGTCCAAGGCTATCTTTTTCTTTAAAAAAATTGTGTTCAGGATAAGTTCTAGCAATGTCTCTTCTGATCAGTTTCTCACAAGGTGAGGTCATTTTCAGGAGTTCTGAATACTGATCCTTAATTGGCATACTTTGTGCACTGCATAAAAGTTGCCAAACTATTGCTCGAAAGTGGTGGGGTATCCCTTTACGAACAAGTTCCTAAAAAATAAAAATTAAATTAAATTAAAAATTTTAATTTGTAAGTCTTATGCTTTACAAGCCAAAGTATACTTACTGGGCAGGGGTACTAGAATGAAGTAGAAATTTTCATCACATTTTTAATTCATAAAACTAATTTTATAATAAATTAAGAAACTTTTTTAAAAAAACTAAATTAGTAGCTTTTTAATTGAGTCTATGACTTAGCCCTTTTATATACCCAGTTTCTGGTAAGAATAGTACAAAATCCGGACTAAATTCCTACCACTTCATTGAGAATGTGACCTCTAAAGGTATCAAGGACTTCATTGTCTGTAACCGTGACACAAAACTCATTACCTATCGAAGGACTGTTGAATATAAAAAACATTGATAAATCAAGGATACAAGAGGTCACTTTATTTCTGTATCTACAAATTAGAGAATTTTTCAGGTATATATTTCTACCTCTATAACAACTACCTCTTGTAAATCTGAACTTTTATGGGACGCAAATAATTAAAACATGAAGATTTGCTACATAGCTTGGGAATAACTGGAATATTTTTTTCTAATCAGATCTATGCCTGATACCCTCTAGGATTAAGAGGAAAATGTCAAAATAATGAAAATGAATACCTTAACCTGCTTTTCCTTCTTTTTGCGTACATCTTCCCATTCATTAACAATTCTTCCCCAAAGAATCCAAGAATCTTCTTCGAGGTGGCTGAGATTGCTGGAGGCTGATGAACTTGATACAAGAGAGGAGCCACTATTTCTTCTTGAGCCATTTACTGATTTTAAAGACTTACTATCCGTCTCTAACAACCTAAAACATAATTAAAAATTGCTCATCTGACATTGATACTAAAGTAGCAATGATATTTAGAGCTTCACTACCATAACTTGCCACTGTTTTAAGACACAGCTTTAATAATATGCTTTATTTTGATGACTTTTTTGGGTGACATTAATAAAGTGACTGCTATATTATTTCACTTATGCATAGCAGTTTCAAAGTTTTAAGTAGCAAATTATGTTAATCAATTTAGTGTTATTGGCCCTATCACTTTTTTTTATTTTATTTTAAAGAGAGAAAAATAATAAAAACAATTACACAGAATTTCAAAACAAGGTAGTAGGAAACTATTGTTAGTGGTTTATATATTGCATATTGTTTAGTTCAAAGTAGTTGCTCAGATTACAAGATATAGGTATGCTCTCAGTACTAATTTATAAAGTATGAAAACTACCATAGAAAAGAATCATAAGTTAAATCCTATTTTGCAAATTATAGGATCACTTTTTGAGAGCCAGATTTATAACTTAATTTTTTTTTTCAGAACTGGGGATTGAATTCAGGCCCTTGCGCTTGTCAGGCAAGTGCTTATTCTACTGAACCCATCTCCCCGGCCCTATAACTTAAATGTTAACTAAGAGCAAAATACATTAATTTTTTTGAACTGAAATAAAATCACAATCCCCTATTTTAAAAAACCTTCCAAATTCTAGATTATACCATACTTAATAACACTGTAATATAAACTGAACAAACAAATTACATCTTTACCTAGGGAAAGTTTAATGTATCTTCATTTTGAGGAGGCAGGTACTAGAAATCAAACTCAGGACGCTGTGCTTGCCAGGCAGGCACTGTGCCCATGAGGTATACACCCAACCTTTAATGGATCTACATAGTAAAAATCATTTAATAAAATTTCCCAAATATAATCAGAAACATAAAAATAATTACTAAATAGACAAACATCAATTTCTATATTTTATTTGAAAAAATTACTATGATGTTTTACTTTAAAGAATTTTCATATATATTATTTAAGCTCATAATTTTTCTTATGGAAAAATCTGTGTATGTATGTAAGTGATTTTCTACATTTTACAGAATTCTAAATGAGGTTGACGAATAAACTTTACTGAAATAATATGAACTTAAATACCTATTCACTTGTGATATGCCAAATAATTAAATGGTATCACTACCACCAATAGACATACATTTCAAAGAAAATAATGGAATTTACTAAGCTTAAGTATAGTGGAAGTAGAGTCGACAAAGTATGTAATCAGAGGTTTTCGGTGCCTCAGGTTTACAGATTGCTGAGTTGCAACTTTTAGGATAATCAAGAATGTCAAGTGAATTCATTGTTGGATCAGAGAAAGCTAAAGCAATTCACAGACAAAGAACTGAACTGTTACACTGAATTAAACAAAGCTGTGAGAAATGCTTACATATGAAATATTATTCCAAATAAAGACATTATGTTATTTAAAGATGTTGTTCCTGCCTTATCTCACTTGATATACAAATGGAGTGAGGGAATGATAGGCCTAAATATAAAAAATGCAAACCTCCTAAACAAAACATAAATCCTCTTCACAATCTTGGCTTAAGGCTGAAAATGATTAATGGTACACAAGAAGACACTAAACAGGCTGGGGATGTAGCTCAGTGGCTCAAGTACCTGTCTGGCAAGCTTAAGGTCCTAAGTTTGATTCATCATACCAAAAGAGGAGGAGGAGGAGGATGACGAGGGAGAAAGGGAGGAGGGGGGGAGGAAGAGGAAGAGAAAAAGAAGAAAGCATTAAAAAATCAGAAAAGTGACTAAATAATTGAATTTAATAAAAATTATAGATCTTTGCTCTTCAAAAGATACCTTCAAGAATATGAAAGATAAGGTGGACTTGGTGGTGGACACTTACAACCCTAGCATAATCAAGAATGTCAAGTGAATTCATTGTTGGATCAAAGAAAGCTAAAGCAATTCACAGACAAAGAACTGAACTGTTACACTGAATTAAACAAAGCTGTGAGAAATGCTTACATATGAAATATTATTCCAAATAAAGACATTATGTTATTTAAAGATGGATGGCAAAAGACAAAAACAAGAAAGATGAAGCCAGCTACTAAAAAGTACGTATTAAATTTTTTATTTATACAAAGTTCAAAAATATAATATAGAAAAAATACAGCAGTAGATTCTCATGACTTTGATAGGTAAAGCATCCTTAAATATAACTCCAAAGTCTAAGTGTCAACAGAAAAAGCAGGTGAATGAGGGCAGTGGCACATGCTGTAATCCCAGAACTCTAGGTTTGAGGCAGGAGGATCGTAAATTTGACCCCAGTCTGGGTAACCTAGTGACTTAAGACACTGTCCAAAAATTTTAAAATAAAAAATATCTGGAGATATAGCTCAGTGAGAAGACCCTGAGTTCAATACCCAACGAGGGGGCAGGGAGGGATAAAATGGAATTCATCAAAATTATAAACATTTTGTACCTCACTACCTATCATCATGGAAGTGAAAAGACCCTTCACTGGAGAAAAGAGCTGTAAAATATAAAGGACTTACGTTTATAAGTTTTAAAAACCCAAACTACTGAGTTTAAAAAGTGAACAAAAGACATAATTAGCTATTTATTAAAGAAGATTCACAAATCATCAGGGAAATGCCTAAAGAAACATACCTTCATAATCACTAAGATGGTATAATTTTAAAACACAATAGTGTTTGAGAGAATATGGGTACAATGAAACTAATGGGGCTGAGAGAGAGCTCAGTGGTCTAAATGTCTGCTTGGCAAGCTCAAGGACCTGGTTTCAATCCCCTGTACCACATGCCATGCTGGCTCCACCATGCTCACCAACAAAAATGGGTGTGGTAATACACACCTGTAATCCCAGCACTAGGGAGACTGAGACAGGAGTATCACTATGAGTCAGCTGTATAGCAAGACACTGTACCAAATAAATAAATAAATTTTTTAAAAAAGAAACTAATGACTAGTGATAAGAATGTAAAATGTCACATCACAGCACAATCTATTACATGTTGTGGTGATGCTCTTGCAGAAAAATCTATTGCACTACCAAATGTAAAGTATGTAGTACATATAATTATATAACTTGATACTAAACAATTGTGTTACAGGTTTATGTATTACTGTGCCATCCTTTTTAATAATTAGAGAGTAAGCCCTCTGTTTATAAAAACAAAAAAAGTTAACTGTAAAACAACCTCAGACAGGTCCTTCAAGAAGGATTCCATGGGGCCGGGGAGATGGCTCAGTAGAATAAGTGCTTGCCTGGCAAGTGCAAGGGCCTGAGTTCAATTCCTGGCTCCACCAAAAAATAAAAAAATAAAAAATAAAAAGAAGGATTCCAGAAGAGGGCATTAATATCATAGGTAATGACAGCTCCATGTGTTACTTACTGTCTCTGAGGATCTTTAGTAGGACAAGACACAGATGTAGAAGACAGTGATATTAATGCTCCTGACCCTGGTGAGCCTTAGGTTAACTGTCTTAATTTTTAACAACAACAACAAAAGTTTTAAAAGCAAAGTTTTTAAAGTTAAATACCATAAACCTTATAAAATACAAAGAAATTATTTGTATGTAGTTGTACAATATTTGTGTTTTAAGTCCTGTTATAAGAACAAAAAAAGTTTACTGAATCCTTTAAACAATTCTTTGTAAAGCCAGACACAGTGTCATATGTCTATAATCCCATATACTCAACTACTTGGAAGGCTGGGGCAGGAGGATTTTAAGTTCAAGGCCAGACTGGGCAACCTGACAAGACCTTCTCATAAAATACAATACAGTACAGTATAGTATAATACAATACAAACAAAACAGGCCAGGCACGTAGCTCAATTATAAAGTGCGCCAAATACTGGGGGAAAAATGCACATATATAAGGATAACCTCAGCCTGTGGCATTTATAAAGTCTAAACAGTAATATCTTAGTATGGCAGTTCATGGTAAGTATACTATAGAAGTATACCATTTATTACCTTCTGTAGCATATTTTTCTTTTTTATCTTTAGATACACAAATACTTATCCTTGTGCTACAACTGCCTATAATATTCAGTACAGTAATAAGCTGTATATGTTTGTAGCCTAGAAACAGGGTATACCATCTAAGGTTCCTACAAGTACATTTCATGATATTTGTGCATCAGTAAAATCGTCTGCTATGGTTTCTGTTTAGATGTCTCCCAAAAGCCTCATTTAGATATAGGTGTGGGGTTTTAGACATGACTGGATCTGCAGTGGGTAATGCTGGGATCAAGGATGCCATGCTAGAATTAAGGGTGTGGGTACCACCTGCTCTAAGGGTGGGTGGCCTGGATAAAATATAAAAGACAAAAAAGGCTTGTAGCTTGTCACTCGCTGCCTTCTGCTTGCCCTGCTTTGCCATGGACTGTTTTTCCTCTCCAATGCTCCTCTCCCACGCCATCCGGTCTTGAAGCCAGCTGACTATGGACTGAAACTTCTACAAATTATGAGCTAAATAAACCTTTCCTCCTTTAACTTTGGACATCTGGTATTTTTGTCTTAGCAACAAGAAAAGTAACTAAGACATCATTCAACAATGCATTTTTTTCCCTCTCTCTCTTCCTTCACACCATTCCCACCCTTCCTTCCTTCCTTCCACTACTGGGAATTAAATGGAAGAGTTTCACACTGAGGTACATATCCCCAGCTACCACTCAACCCCTCCTTTCTTTCTTTTTTTTTTTTTTTCTTTCATTTTAAAGACAGTTTCATCCAGATGTTAAACTGCCCAAGCTGGGCTTCCATTTGAGATCCTCCTGCCTCTGAGTGTTGGGATTACAGATGTGTCCCACCACACTCAGTTTCTTTCTTTTTTTTTTTTTTAATCTTTAATATTTGAGATTTTATTGGTTGTGTTGAAGATCAGTACACATGATTCACTTTGTACACAATTCTTAAACACATACCAAAAAAAGCCATGTATTGTTTTTTAGTTGTTCCAGCTTCAAATTTTCTGTAA